AAAGAAACCATAAATCTGCTATTTTTCAGGTAGAACGCGTGTTCCGCGAGTGGATCCACATGTGCGGAATGGGTGAAGTCGATCAGAATCCACACTCTTCTTTGGCCCGCATCATCCAGGAGGTATCGTTTTAGCGGAAAAACATTTTTGTGTTTTTTCAGATCCACGCAGACGGGTTGATGTCGTCGGATTTGATGATCGCCTCCTTCTTCCGCATCTGCATCGACATTTGCGTGATCAAGTACCACGCCATGACCGTCGAGGCAAACGATCTCTTCGTCCCCAGCAGTTCGCGCCGCTATCGACGCGTTCGTCGCTTGTTTGGCACAAGTTTTGCCTGGTCCCGACGCCTGGTTGTTTTCTCAGTTCTTTCTGCATTATCGGCGGGAGCACTTTAAAGTCAATGGCTGGATGTTTAGTAATCTAATTGAAAGTATTTTGTTCGTCTTGGTAAATTGGAGCCATATTTCAGTAGAAACTGAGCTAAAAAGGATTAAGTCGAAAAATCGAAAATTTTATATGTTTGAATAAAAGTCAGTGAAGTTTTTAATGCTAGGAATAGTAAGAAAGGTTTTGAAAAGCCTGGGTCTGACCTTGTAAAAATTGGATTCTAAGCAAAGCGCTGGGTCCTCCTTTATTATGAAAGAAACCGTTTTCTGAGCTTTTGCTCATCGCCGTAGGGGCAATAGCAATTCGTAGGCCGTATTCTTTTTGCACTGATATTTTGCACAAAGATCGTGATCGCTAACTTTCTCACAGCAATTGGACTGAAATATTTTTTAGCTCAACTGCCTTTCCGACCCAAGCCTCCTGTCCACAAAAATCAACTTGGCCCGCCAGGTATTTTTTCTGGTTTCCATAGATCGTCCTTAGTTTCTGAACATCGTGGCGAATTGCGCCCTGCTGGAGGCGAAGAAGCACGGGCCATCGTTCGATTCAGGGCCATTCTATCGAATTCCGCTGGGAACGTACACGGGGGTGATGTGACCGGGTGATGGCATCGATCGGATCAGAATGCAGCGAGATGACTCCAGAAAGGTATCAAATGGTATTTTATCTTTTACTAGCGGAAATAAGGTGTACTCGACTGCTGGCCGTGGGACCGAATTTTAACTAATCCGATAATAATCCTTTTTTACTTTTTGCTCAAACTTGTGTGAAAAATGACCGAAAAACGTAAAAATCGTCAATTTTTTGAAATTCTTTTTGTAAATTTCCAGCAATGAAAACTTGGTAAAAACGCTATAAAGTAGTGGGATCAGTAAGCTAACAAACAAAGACTGGTTCCCTGCCCCCGCTAACAGTCAAGTACCAAATAAAGAGGCTCGCTCAAAAACCTACTTTTCAGACGCTCCAACTACATGAAGCCGTCTGAGCCCCGAATCTGCCTTCGACTCGGCTCGATGTTCTAAATGGTATCATTTAACATTTCTTGCTTTTCTTTATGTTTTTAGATCTAACCGTCCCGTCGATCCAGCCTCACCCAACACAAATGTAACTTCTCATAGACAAGTGACGATTCAACGACTAAATACCCTGATTCCTGTCTTGTCCCTCTCTTTTTTTCCAACTATATTTTTGCCATACGATTGTGTAGTCATTCATTATCTCTTTGATCTCTTTGCCATCGTTTTCTGTGAATTTACTGCTGTGCTTTTCTTTTCCACGATGATTTTTGCGTGTAACATCTGTGATAACCTACCATATTCTTGGGCTGTCTATATGGTGCTTTTTCCTAGATTTTTTTGGCTTTGCTTTTCGGGATTCGAAGGTTCCCTTGTCAGAATAAACCGTGTAACTAGGGAGTGCAATAAAAAACCCAGCAAACCGCTTAGCTAAAATGTAAGTTCTGATAGAGACTCGGCGATCGAGGGATTTCGAACTGCAATCAGAATTTGCTTAGCGGCTTAATACAAAATAGTTATGAGCATTTTAAGTTTTGCACTAGATGGGTTCTATCTGCTATCTTATGAGCCCTCCGAGATGGGTGTCCGCCTGTCGGCTGGTGTAGTGGCTTCCTAGCATCGCCTCTGGGGGGGAGGGTCTCTGGTTCGGATCCCCGGTCATGCAAAAACTTTTGCTTTTTGGTCAAAGTCAACAATTTTTAGTCTTTTTCAAAGTTTCGAAGCACGGAATTTATATTTTTTAAATCTTTCTTCTATTATTGATTCAGTGTTATTTAGGCCTGCCTTACGGAAAAGAATAGCAGTGAATTTTTTAATTCGCCCTATCCGCAAGAGTCCTGGCACTCCGCCACCACTTTGCCATGAATTTGCCATGGTTTCATGAATTTAAAAATTAAGAGAACGACCTTTTCGACTTTGAAACTTTGAAACGTTTAAAAGGTTGTTGACTTTTGACCCAAAGCAAATTATGCATGACCGGGGGTTCGGAACCAGAGACCCTCCGCCCATGAGGCATGCTAGTTAGCCACTACACCAGTCGACAGGCGGACACTCATCTTGGGAGGCCTCATGTAGGAGGGCGGTTCTGCATCTGATGCAAAACTTAAAATGCTCCATAACTTTTTGTATTAAGCGTTTAGCAAATTCTGATTGCAGTTTCGGAATCCCTGTTGCCGATCTCCATCAGGGCCTATTTTGCTAAGCGGTTTGCTGGAGTTTTATTTGCACTTCCCCAGTAAGTGTACGATATTACAATTTAAGGAATTGCTAAAACATTGCGCCCATCTCGAGAAGCTGCAGCTCCAAGATCTGTTTTTAGCTCGCAAGACTCGGTATTTTTGGCACTTCAAGAAGAAGCTAACTTCGAATTATGACCATCTCGTTCTGTGCTAGGGATTCGCGCCCGCTCTTCCCAAATATTCTCCGACCCATTGTTTCCATGGTGTTTGTGGGGCCAATAACTTGAAGTGTCCCTCAAAGTTCCCGCCGCCCTTCGCGCGCTTCTTCTAGCCGCACCCCGAACCCCCTTCTGGATTGCTAATTTCTGCGGGGAAACTGGGTCCATACTTTGCCATTTTTACTTTTTAAATAGCTGCGGGCCTATTTCGAGAGGCTCTACTACCCTAATACTTCTATAGCGACCTAGATGACTTTTGAAGAACTAGGCAAACTTGCTGTCCGTGTTTTTCTAGAGTTTCAGACTTTGTTCTTCGCGCCTTTCGGGGCAGTAAAAATGAAGAGCCGACCGAAAGTGGATGTGTTTTTGGAGTGTGAAGTGAGAGCGCGGGCTCTCCGTGCTACATCACGATATCTGTATCGTTTTTGGGGGCGTCGGATCTAGAAATTCTTCTCAGGCTCGAGGCTAGTTTCTCGATTATTCGTTCAGGAACTCACCCCAGAACTTTGTTAGCTAAACTAGGTTTTTGGCAAGATCTTTCATGACTTGGTTTTGAAGTTTTAGGCCCCAAGAAATAGAAATTTAATTTGGGCTCAGATACTAGTTTCTGGGGGACTTTTTGCCTCTTTGCTGTCCTCCAGCTTTTTGTCTTTTTAGCCGGATGCCTCTATTTTTAGCTGAATAGCGTAATAGAAGCTTTCATTTTTTAGTTGCAATCTGGATCGAGAATCGGCCAGTTTTCGTCGAAAACTATACGTTTTGTGTTTTTTTAATGCCGGATATATGTAATAATGATGAAGAACCCGGGGACGCTTCGATTTTGCAACGATAGTTGGGCACTTCCAGAATTTTAGGCCGTTTTGCTTTTCTTTTCCTGTCTAGAAAAAGCATAACCGATCCATCCAGCGCAATTCATATTCCGAGTGGTGTCGAGTGATCCAGAATAGCCGGGACAATGTCGAAGAAGAGGGACCCAGTGAGGATTGTTTGACTTTGTTTGAAGGAAGCCGTCCTCCAGCTGCGCCCCGTTCCGATCGGCGCTTCTTCTGCTTTTTCGTAGAAGACAATGGGGCCGATTGGTTGACGTCTTCTCCCCCGCAGCAAATGTTGTCTATGCCATCCACCCGATTCATTCTTGATTTCTGCGCCCTCTGACGGTATTTGTTTATTCAATCGGGGAGGGGCGAGGATTGGTGGCACCATTCGATCCGCCGATATTTGATTTCAGTTCAGCAGTTTGGCAATGTCAATGGTTTTTCCGGAATTTCTCCTTGTAAACTATCTTATTTCGTTTATCTGCGAAAATGCCTCTTTTTATTTAGCTTTCGTAGCTTTTTTGTGTTTTTGAGTTTTTGACTTCTTTTTTTTAGCTTCAGAATTCATGCTTCCGGAGTTTTTCGAAGTTCTGGTTCGTTAGCGGGGGAGCACTTCCACGCCTAACCCCTCCCATAGTAATCAGATGGAAACGTTTCTATAGTTTTTGTCTTATAAGAAGTTATAAAACTATTTTTACAAATGCGGATTTTCTCACCAGTTTTTGAATAAAATTCAAATTTTCGCAGTTTGTAGACTCTTCTCTTCCGAACAAGAGCGTAAAAGAGGTCTAGGGCACCTGGAAAAAGTGCCCCCCCGCTGAAACCACCAGCTCTTTTTCCGTATTTTTGTGTAAGGTAACGTAAGGTAAAGCAGGTGTCGATTCGTCCACTACTTACTCCCGACTCCCTTCCCCCTCCGCCTAGTTGATTCATAGAGTACCGCAGTGATTGTATTTAGGGAAGGAAAGAATCGGAGCCTGGTGACCGTTCTATCGTTTGTCGGTAACCCCTTCTTGTTGTCATCCTCCTCTTCTTCCCGTCTCGCCGGCGGGGGTTTTGTCTTGAAAACAGTGGGTATACCCGCCAGCTGGGGGTGTAGTTATTCATTCCGTATTCTCGACAAAGGTCTTTTAATAAGAACAACTTGTTAAGGTTAGGGGGATGGATAGAGGTTATGGGAAATTTTCGTCTAGATGCGTCTATAATTGTTAGCAAAAGCCGATAGATGGCAGGAATTTAGAAAAAGAAACCTAAATCAGCCTTTTTGAGCTAGTCTGTTTTTTTTAGGATCAATTTCGGTATCTTTTGCCTGGCTGTTAAGCTTGTTTTAAGTTTTTCAATGATTTCTACCCCGTGTAGTAAAATTGAACCACGAGCCTCACTTTGCCGTGGTTGGTTGTGGTGGGGCATAATCTATCCCTTGGGACCGGGGGACTTGCACCCTCTTCTCGGCCGATCCGGACTCCGCATCCCTGGCTTCTCCTTCCCTTCACAAATGTCAAAACTCGGCCTTTAACCCCATCCGATTCTTTGCATATCTTTAGCGATCTGGCTGACCGCTTTTGCGGGGGTTAATCTTGGGAATTTTGAATATTTTCTGGAGATCTTTGAGAGATACTTTAGTAAAGTACGATTTTATTTTCCGTTACAGTTGGATCGTTTTTATAAGGTTTTTTAACTTCAATTTCGACATTTTAGAGATATTTTCTCGGTGCGCGTGAGCCAGTTTGTCGAAAAAGAATAACTTGGGCCCGCTAAAAATCGGCTAATCTGGGCAAATCCGCCCATTTCGGCTAGCTCTGGCGATTTTTGTTCAAGGGAAAGGTTGCTCGCTTTAGGGCGTCCCTGGGGATCTAGGAATTTCAGCAGTGATTTTCCTTAATATTTTCTAGTGAAAAGTTGACCAAATTGTCAATTAATAGCGTTTTTTTATGGAGATCTGTACAGTAGATTTTGTGGATTTTAATTCTACTTTTCCGGTCTTTTTGTCCGGTATACCGGTAGAAACCATTTGGCGAAGTCGTGATGCCTTTTTCGGGGATTTTCAAGAAGCATCACACGCTAGAAGTTTTCAGGTCTTTTTCGACAGTGATCGAATCGTTTTCGATTAATTTTTCTTCGTGGGGCCCTCGGGCATTTTGTGGTTTTTCGATTTCAACCAGCCCTCCTCCATGCCCACTATAATAATCTGGCACTCAGAAATCCGTTTGGCCTCCCGATCTGCAATCTTGGCTTTTGAGTTGAGTGGGTTTCTCTCGGGTGGTGGTGGCGGTCCCATGTGGATCGGGAGGGGGGACGGGACTCTACAAAGAGAGATGCTCCATATGCAAAGTGAGAGAGAGGTCGACAGAGGGGGATAAAGCGAGAGAGAGGCAGACTATTTGGTCTCTCAGAATGTCCCCGTCCGTTCCACCAGTATGTCCCCCCTTTAGCCGCCCCCCGATCCCTGTTCTCAGGAAAACGATTATTTATCCGCTTTTAGCCTTTTGGCTCCCGTCCCAGGCTTTTAATGTTAGATTTTTGCTCCAGCAAATCATCAACATCAAAATATTTTGACAAAATCGATTAATGATGGTTGTTTATGTTTTGATGCGTCAGACAGTCAGAGGGTGGGGAAATCTTTTAAACCCATGTTTTTACGAATTTTTCATTTTGACCGCAACTTTTCCTCTGAAAGATCCATTCCGACAGTTTTTAACCTCTGGACGCTCGTTTTTCTTGAAAAGACGGAAGTGTGGGAGCTGTAGGTGTTGAAAGCAGTGTTCTTCCCCCGGTGAGATGATAGCAATAAATCTTGACAAAAGGTGTCGGAGTGGAGGGGGGAATTGAGAAGGAAGAAAGGCATAGAGAGGCATTACAGCCCCCACGACCGTGTCGT